TATACAAGAAAGACACTTTAAAGATAGCAGCACACTAAAATTGAACAACCACATCTATAACTCCATTTCCTCTCTCTGATCACCACCTCTTATCGTTTACTCTCAATTACCCCTTCACCCAACAACCTCAGCCTAACCCCCCTCAACTCAGGAGGAACCTTAACTCTATTGACCTCCAGCAGCTGTCAACTGACATTGATTCACAACTGCTATCCATCCCATCCCTCTCCTGTCCCTCACTGGCCATCTCCACATATAACACTACCCTCACCTCTGCCTTGAATGCTGCAGCCCCGCTCCAAACATACACCTCGAGGAGGACACGACCCCAACCTTGGCATACTAAATCAACACGCTATCTGCAGAGTTGCTCCCGTTGTGCTGAACGCTCCTGGAGGAAGTCCTGCACCCAGGCAGACTTTCTCCATTATAGATTCATGTTGTGTTCATACAGCGCAGCCCTTGCCCTCGCCAAACAGTCATACTTTTCCTCTCTCATTAGTTCATGCTCCCGCAATCCCAGACGTCTCTTTGACACCTTTAACTCACTTCTGCGCCCTGCTGCGGCCACCCCTCAAACTAACCTTACAGCTGATAGCTTTACATGCTACTTTACCGACAAGATTGAACAGCTAAGGAAACAATTCTCCCCTCCTTGCCATTCTTTTTCTGAACCACACATAAATCATGCCTTCCCTACCCTTCAGACTTTCTCTCCAGCAACTGAACAAGAGGTGGCTGTGCTTCTCCATTCCTCTCGCCCCACCACTTGCCCGCTTGATCCTGTCCCATCCCACCTCATCAGATCTCTCTCCCCTTGTCTTGTGCCTACCCTAACACACATCTTTAACTGCTCTCTCTCTTCTGGCAATGTTCCTGCTGACCTTAAACATGCCACTGTAGTACCTATCCTGAGAAAAACATCTCTTGACTCGTCCTTCCCCTCTAACTATCGTCCAATATCCCTGCTCCCTTTCTCATCAAAGCTTTTGGAAAGACTTGTCTTTACCCGTGTGTCTCACTTCCTCAATTCCAACTCTCTCCTTGACCCTCTTCAGTCTGGCTTCCGCCCTCTCCACTCTACTGAGACTGCTCTCATCATAGTCACTAATGACCTAATCGCAGCTAAATCCAAAGGTCACTACTCCATATTAATTCTCCTTGACCTCTCTGCTGCCTTTGACACCGTTGATCATGCTCTCCTCCTTCAAACTCTTCAATCGCTTGGTCTCTGTGAATCTGTCCTCTCTTGGTTTTCCTCCTATCTCTCCCAACGCTCATTCAGTGTCTCCTTTTCCAAGCATACCTCCTCCCCTCGCCCTATCTCGGTTGGAGTTCCCCAAGGCTCTGTCCTTGGTCCTCTTCTATTTTCTCTTTATACTGCCTCTCTTGGCAAGCTTATTGCCTCTTTTGGATTCAACTACCACCTGTACGCTGATGACACTCAGATATACCTCTCCTCCCCGGACCTCTCCCCTGCCGTCCTGCAACGTGTCACTGCTTGCCTTTCTTCCATCTCTGACTGGATGTCCTCACGCTTTCTGAAACTCAACCTCTCTAAAACTGAACTCCTTGTCTTTCCTCCTCCTTATACTGATCCTCCTCTCTCACTCTCCCTTCAAGTCAGTGATATCCACATAAGTCCATCCTTGCAAGCACGCTGTCTTGGCGTCATACTTGACTCTGGCCTCACCTTTGAGCCTCACATCCAGCTTGTTGCCAAATCCTGTAGGTTCCAACTCAAAAACATAGCCCGCAAAGAGCTTGTCCATGCTCTAGTAATTTCCCGCATGGATTACTGTAACCCTCTCCTGATTGGTCTCCCCAAAAGCCGTATTGCCCCGCTACAGTCTGTAATGAATGCTGCAGCTAGACTGATTTTCCTCTCTAGTAAGTCCTCTCACACATCACCCCTGTGCCAGTCCTTACATTGGTTACCTGTATCCTATAGGAGTCAATTCAAAATGCTAACCCATACATTTAAAGCACTGAACAATTCTATCCCCTCTTATATCTCCTGAATGATCCATAGGTATGCCCCTCCTCATTCCCTCCGCTCTGCCCGTGACCACCTCTTGTCCGCTGCTCGCACCCGTACGGCCAACTCGCGCTTGCAGGACCTCTTGCAGGTGGCTCCTTTCCTATGGAATAGCCTGCCTACTGCCATCAGACTCTCCCCTAGTCTTTAATCAGCTTTAAAACCCATCTCTTCAGGAAAGCTTATGGCCTCCCAGCGTAACCTCTACCTTACATACCTGTCTCTTGCTCTCTCTACCCTCTCCTCCAGCTCTGCTTCACTCCCACCTTATTTGATTGATATTTCCTGTCCTAACGTGTCTTATACCCCACCTCCTATAGACTGTAAGCCCGTTTGAGCAGGGTCCTCTTCAACCCATTGTTCCTGTAAGTTTTCTTGTAATTCTCCTATGTATACTTAAATTCCCCCCTCCCCCTAATAATATTGTAAAGCGCTACGGAATCTGTTGGCGCTATATAAATGGCAATAATAATAATAATAAACAAGGCTATTGTGGTAACAACCTAGAGAGTGAATCGAAGGGGATGGCAATCGTCATCCATAAATCAATTCTAACTTAGGATAGACATACACCCTGGCAAACATCAATGCTCCAAAACACGACAAATGAAATTCCTGAAGACTACAATTCATGGAAGGTTTCCTGACTCGGGAGGGGTTTCAACATCGTCCAGACCACTTCAACGGGCAGAAGTGGTCTGGGTGCCTGGAGTGTCCCTTTAAAGTTGGCCCTGCTAGCCCACGTTATTGTCAATAGGAATTTGTTTTATTAAGAAGTGTAATATATATTTACTTTCTGAAATGCTTTGCTCACAAATATGAGTAATGTGCTTAATTAATATCTCAATAGGTGGCACCGGTACTGAAAGAGAGGATGATAAAGAAAGGATCAATGATGATTGGTTACCAGCCTCATGAAAATCATGTGAATTTCTTCAGACAGATAGTGGTTAATCCTGAGAGCACTAAAGAAGACCTGGATTTCTTCTTAAATGAAATAGAAAGACTGGGAGAGAATCTTTAAAATTAGTCTTAGCATTTCCAACAATTATTTTTGTGTTAATTTATTCATTACATAGAAAATATAGCAACTAGTTAGGGAATATATTTTATATGACATTATGATACTAGACAGAACACAACATGCGCAAGGAACTTAAGTTTTAGGTAACTCAATTACAATGACATAGATGCAAAGTTAAATCATAAAATAGATATAGATTGCCAATTAGCGGTTGCAGTTTGCATTTGAGAAACATTTACTATTTTATGGATGAAGAAAGATATTTCAAAGCCAACTTCAGAGTTTTAAAGATAATAGGAGGACAGCGATTGGCTGTGGGACAGAATTATATTAACAGCTCAGCTCACACTGATCTCTGACCTATGTTAGCACTCTGAAGTTGATGTCAATCATAGAAACATAGAACGTGACGGCAGATAAGAACCATTCGGCCCATCTAGTCTGTCCAATTTTCTAAATACTTTCTTTCCCTAGCCTTATCTTATAGTTAGGATAGCCTTATGCCTATCCCACGCATGCTTAAACTCCTTTACTGTGTTAACCTCTACCACTTCAGCTGGAAGGCTATTCCATGCATCCACTACCCTCTCAGTAAAGTAATACTTCCTGATATTATTTTTAAACCTTTGTCTCTCTAATTTAAGACTATGTCTTCTTGTGGAACAAGTTTTGTGAAAATGGAAAGTGTGGCTAAAAGGGTGGGGTTATGCTACATCAATCTGGAAAACCTTAATTTTTTTTTTTTTTTTTTACCAAAAATATAAAGATTTGAACCTGGATAAAAATAAAGCATGATTGTGAGGTAATTACATGTGAACTGCACTTAAATGGACACTATAGGTAAGCAAACAACATTATCTCATTGAAGTGGTTTTTGTGCAGTGACCCTGTCTTAGAGAAACTGTTTACATTCCATGGTTAAGACTGCCCCTAGACAGGGCCGGTGCAAGGACTTCTGTCTACACAGGCGAAGACACATTTTGCTGCCCCCAAAATTTATCTTCACCTGTCTGTCTAATATTCCCACTTTTGCCTCTCTTACCAATTATTTTGCCCCTTTGCATCTTACCACCTTTTTCTCTTGTTCTCCTTTTTTGTATATTGTATCCTGTCTGGCATTATTTTTTACGTGTTTTGTGTCTTCACCCTACTTTTTTTTTACCCCCTTGCGTCACACACTCACTCGCTCATACGCACACACACACTGACCATAACACACACACACTGACCATTACACACACACACACTGCTAATACACACACACTGGCTCTAACGCACACAGTCTCTTACACACTTGGACAGCTTATACACACTCACCGGCTCTAACAGACACACAAAAACAGTCTCTTACACACACTGCTTATACACACTCACTAGCTGTAACACACACACAGTCTCTCACACACACACACTGCTTTACACTCACACAGTCTCTTACACACACACAGTTTATAGACACACACACACTAACTCTTACACACACACTAACTCTTACATACACACACTGGCTCTAACACACACACACACTAACTCTTACATTCACACACTGGCTCTAACACACACACACACATTAACACACACACTAACTCTTACATACACACACTGGCTCGAACACACACACATTAACACACACACACACACTGGCTCTAACACACACACACACACTGGCTCTAACACGCACACACACTAACTCTTACATACACACACTGGCATTAACACACACACAAACTCTTACACACACACACACACTGGCTCTAACACACACACACTGGCTCTAACACGCACACACACTAACTCTTACATACACACACTGGCTCTAACACACACACACTAACTCTTACACACACACTAACTCTTACACACACACACACACACACACTAGCTCTTACATACACACACTGGCTCTAACACACACACACACACACACACACACTAACACACACTAACTCTTCCACACACACAATGGCTCTAACACACACTAACTCTTACACACACACACTTACTGTTTCTTATAGTTGCAAAACAGAGGTCCCGCTGCACTGTTGTAGCTTTCCTCCACAGCAGTTGGCCGCCGGGATATGATGTCACTCCTCGCTGTTCCGCCCCCTTCCCTCAGTGGGTGCACGTTTCTCAGCCAGCTGATTAGATTGCTGCAGAAATTGACCGGCGGGAGCGGAGTTCTCCGTGCTCCCGCCAGTCACTCGGACATTTTTGCGCCCCTTGGGTCCGTGCGCCCTAAGGCTGCCGCTTGTGCCGCCTTATGGTAGCGCCGGCCCTGCCCCTAGAGGCTGTCTACCAGACAACCACTAGAGGCGCTTCCTGCAGTTTCACAGATTTTAACTGCATGAAATGACTCTGGACGTCCTCATTAAGGATTAAGTCAATGTGCTGTGCATGCGCATTAGGTTCATGGATTGTGTTGTCGTCGTTGTCAGAATGCAATCCAGTGCCAAGAGACCTCGACGCTGGAACCAGGTAAGTGATTAAAAGGGTTTTTAACCTTTTCAAGGCTGGGGGGGCCGCGGAGGCAGAGAGACTCTGTGTTCCTTTAAGTTGTATTGGTACCTGGAGTGTTCCATTAAAGTACTGGACTTATATCTTTGTGAATGATGATTCTTAACCACTGAACACAATTCAGGATAACATTCCAACAATGACTGAAGTTGTTTTGATGGCAAATTGCAGCTTTACTCTTTATTAGACCTTTCACATGACTATATATTTTTCAATTTTTACCCACTTACTTTATTTGTTCAACTCTCCTATATGCTGCACTGAAGTAATACTATCTACCTCATGTGGCGTAATAAAGTTATAACAAAACTGAATTTATTCTTTAATTTATGAGATATTGTCATGGAACATCATTCCAACATGGAGTAAACAGGGCTATTCTCACTATGGAAAGAGAGTATCGAGTGATATCTGATCAAAGATTCACTGGATCACAGCACAGTCCCGATCCTGCAAACAGTTACAGAGTATTTCTGTGTCAGGCACTGAATGTGGGCAATCACCAGAGGACCCCATTTCCGGCTGGGAAGCAGAATAAGCATCCAGGTGCTCTCCATCCCCCTTTCCATAGTGATAATAGTCCTTTTTAGTCCCTACTGGAATGGGGTTTTGTTGCACTGCATCCCTCCTGACCCATAGTCCAGCATAGCGGGTAAGATCCTAACGGGTCAGCCTGTGGCTGTCCAGGAGCACAAGTTACCCCTCAAGTTCCGATAGGCTATCCGCGTTGCTGCGTGTCTGCCAGGCTGGCACTGTACTGTAAAATTATAGGGCTGCAGAGCCAAGCTCCAGCGCGACAAACGTCCATTGTCCCCAGACACTCGGTTAAGCCATACAAGGGAGTTGTGGGCGGTGAGCACAATAAAAGAGAGACCATAAAGGTAGGGTTGAAACTTCTTCAGTGCCCACACCAGGGCCAGGCATTTATTTCCGACTGCTGCGTAACCAACCTCTCTGGGTTGTAACTTGTGGCTAAGGTAGGCTACTGGATGTCCTCCTCCATCGTCTGCCACTTGGCTCAGCACCGCTCGTAACCCAAACATGGAGACATCTGTATGGACAACAAAACATTTTAAAGGGTCAGGAGAGGCTAGTACTGGGGCTTGGGTTAGAGCTATCGTTAAATGTTAGAAGGTTGCATCACATTCGGAGGACCTGTCGGGAGAGGTTTTTCTTGGTCAGGTTAGTTAAGGGTTGGTCATGGTGAATTGGGGATAAACTTCCTATAGTATCCTGATGTACCTAGGAATGCTAGAACCTGCATTTTGGTGTGAGGCACAGGCCAGTTCAAGACAGTCTCCACCTTGGCTGGCTCAGAACGCTGTTGTCCGCAGCCTACTTGGCGCCCCAGGTACTGTAGCTTGGACATCCTGTTGCAACACTTTTTCAGGTTTTAGGGTCAGTCCAGTGGCCCAGATCCGATCGAGTACTGTTATTAAGTGCTGCAAGTGTTCTTCCATTGAGTTGCCATAGACCGCAATGTCATCCAGATATGCACAGCCATAGTCCTGGAGTCCATCGAGTAGCCTGTCTTTCATCCTCTGGAAAGTGGCTGGGGCATTCTTCATCCCGAATGGCAAGACCTGGAATTAATTGTGACAGGGTAATGAATGCCACATTCAATGATGAATTGCTTCTGTATCCAGCGGGATTTCCCAGAGGTCGATGGAAGGAAATGCCCCCCAAGTAGTAAGGTCTAAGAGATCATCAACCCCTGACATAAGATTGATAATGGTGACAGTCCGGGCATTCAGCCACTGGTAGTCAACGTAGGTGTAGGTCGTACCATACCGTTTCGGCACTAATATAACGGGGGAAGCCCAGGGCTGCTCGAGATCTCAAACACCCCCTGCTTGCGCATCTTTCAAATCTCGGCCTGCATCCCTTCTCTTATTACCTCAGGAAGGCTGTATGCTGATTGCCACAATGGAACCTGTACTGTGTGTAAGAAATACAGTATACCCTCCCACACAGGGTCCTTGATCTTTGAGGAAGGTGCGACAAATAAAACACACTGACAAGTGTGATAAAATAAATTTCTTATTTCTTACATGGGGTCTCAATTCTGTGCATTGCGAGCGCAGTGAACCCAGGAATAGAGGAGAACAAGGCCTGACATTCCCTCATTAATTGGTGGACCTGTTCCAGCACCCGTACCCCTAGTCTATCCCCTAGCTGGATGACTACGATGCCTCCTGCCTCCTCCCAGGCTACCCTCCCTGGCAGGGAGCACAAGCGAGGGGGCGCAAAAATCACTTGTCAATCTGCCTGCTGGGAGGTGCCAGTTTTGTCAACCCATCGCTATGGTCCTGCTAAGGACCCTTTCACCCACTTCCAATATAACAACTCACAGGAAAGAACCAGGTGGACTCCTGCAGTAGCCCCTGCTATGCAAACAGGAGGTGCAGCAGGTGTTGTTCCAGCTGCTTCAGGGGTCTGTTGAAGATATACTTCTTCCCAGTCATACTGGGACGGGACAGGGGTCACACTATGTCAACCGTGGTCCAGCTAAAGCTCCCCTACTATGGGCAAGGGTTGTAAAGTGACCTAGGGTGGTTGCCACGGCGCTGCACTTGTTGACACACATCACAGGCCATACAGTATTTGTATATGTCCCTCATAATCCCTGGCCAAAAGAATGCTTGGATCAGGTAATGCCTGGTGCGACGGTTGTCCTAGGTGCATGGAGAAAAGAATGTCATGCCCTATTTGTAGCACTTCCTGCCTAAATCTCTGGGGTACTATAAACTGTCATCTCGGCACTTGGGCTGCCTCCCTCCAATGACCCTCTGTTATTCAGTACAGCAGTCCCTTCTCTCCCACTCAAACCTTTCTCCCCCCAGCCCTGCAGGGTCAGTCCCTGCTCTACCCCAGTATAGGGCTAGGGTGGGATCTGCCTGAACATGTTGGGCAAAGTCAGCCGGAGAGGGCCATGTCAAGGTAGGGGTTGTCTGGACAATGTCAGGAGAGGTTTGTCTTAGCTGGGTCGCATACGAAAAGGCACTGGCGGCATGCTGGGCTTTTGTGCATAAATAAAAAAAATGTATTACATTTGTTTTCCCCTCAGCCCGATCTTCCTCCGCTGATGTAACTCCCCCTAGCTGGAGGGGGATGGAGGGCAGACTAAAGTAGGACAGGGGCGGCACGGAAAGAGGCCATTTGCTGTCTGGCACCAACATGCTGTGCGTGCCGGTGTCAGATGGCAATTTTGCACAGAATTTACACTACTAAAGAAGCTGCAGCTAAGCAGTTAATCTCTGTATGTGCAGTGTTTCAAAGCGCAATGCTGCACATACAGACTCCAGACACCATGAACACTTTAAATCAAATAAGTGGTCATGGTGCTTGAAGTAACCAATTAAAACCAATATAGCTAAACTGGGAAAATTAAGCCCGCTATGTTTCCAGTTTACGCACTTTAGCCTGGAAGCAATTATTTAATGGTTTAATTAACGTTTGGCTAGATGAGCTTAGCTTAGAGTCCATGATTCCCCTATTTCCCTGTAAAGAAAATAATGGGAGTCCATAAAAATGTGATGCATCCAATAACCCCACTTCTTTTTTTACATTGCTTATTATTGTTTAATCCCCATAACCTTCAGTACTTCAATCTACAGCATTACTGCCCCTGTACTCTGACGTTTCTACTGTAAAACCTTTGTTAGTTTAGTTTCCCTCCGCGAGCTGCCTCTAGTAAGATGGCGTCGAGAACCGGACAGCAACGCTGAGCGCCTGCGCACGGTGGCCGGAAGTGATGGACGAAAAGATTCCGGAGCAGCGGGAGAAGTGGGGTACGAAGCAGGCAGCGGCAGGACAGGTATATAAAGAGAGGGTCTGTGGGCCTGTGCTCAATACAATGGGGGTACTTTCTGCACAATTTACCATAAATAGACATGTTTCCCTTTAATGCATGAAGAGCTATAATCACTAGAGATGGGCTGCAGCAGTAAACATGCCTCCCCCCCTCCTATAGGCAGTCTCCTAACATGTTGGTGTAAATCCCCTGCCTCCAGTCTGCGTGGAGCACAGTCTACATTATAACCTACTTTACTTGCACTCTTCCTAAAACTTCTCTTGGCCCTCCCTGAAAGTGCCTTGTAGGAGTGAATACCCTCCCCCCAACTTGTTAAAGGGACTGGTTCATTGTGTGCACCCCTCCACCTCCCTCCCCCAGACAGTCAGATGTAAACTAAGGGTTTGTTTAGATGGGGTCCAATCCCCATCTATCCCTGTGATAGTATCAATGTGTTGCAGGCCAGTTTCAGAAAAACAAAAATGCAGAAAGGTTTATAGATTTGCTTCCCTGGAATTGTTTATTGTTTTAATATTTGTTAATATTTCCTTGTAGTCCTAATAACTGATAGGGTAAAGAGACCGTACACTCTTTCTTTTTTCTTTTTTTTCCCCCTCTGCATTGTATACATTATTTACTCATGGTGCTTGCTGAGAGTACTAGTCTCAGTTTAAAGTAATTGATTCTGGGAGCAACTCAGTCCACTTTTTATTTATTTATTTTTCTACTGAGGCCACATGTTCATACATTTTTACAATGTTTCTTTCTAATGCAACAAGGAATAGGTATTTGCTGCATTGTTATCATAATGAATTTGATAAAAATTAATACAATTCAGTTGGTTAGTTGTATAATAATATAGCAGCCATGCACTGCACACATGTTATTAAATTGAATCTGTCAGTTTGGATTGAAAGGGTTGAATCAAGCATTATAACCACTACAGCACACTGAAATGGTTAAGATACCAGGACTACCCTTGGTGCTAATCCCACGAGTTTCTAACAGTTTGCCCCCTTACCTGGGTTGTGATGGGCACTGAGCCTCTTATCTTGCCAAGTAACATGTGTCCAGCTTTTGTAGAAGCCAGGTGCCAGTCCTGCTGCTAATTAATTGACGGAAAGAGTCAGCCCTCTGTGCACAGACATATGCAAAGAATTAACATTGTCATTGGCATTTATATAGCGCCAAAGTATTGACATTATTATTGTTGGTGGTTTTGTAGCACCAACATATTCCACAGCAGTTTACAATATTGCAAAGGGGAAATTTTAACCATAAATGAGTTACAAAATGTTACAGGAACATTAGGTTGATGAGCAATCTGCTCAAACAAGCTTACAATCTAGAGAGTGTATCACTGGACATTGAGCTTGGAGTAACCCTTTAATTTATAAATATGTGAATAAATTGAATGTTTCCACAGATAACCAGCCAGCTAGAAAGGGCCAATGGAATGACCTTTCAGTTAACCTCGCTCTATGGATACGTTAGAGTTAAAGGGACACTATAGTCACCTGAACAACTTTAGCTTAATGAAGCAGTTTTGGTGTATAGAACATGCCCCTGCAGCCTCACTGCTAAATCCTCTGCCATTTAGGAGTTAAATGCCTTTGTTTATGAACCATAGTCACACCTCCCTGCATTTGACTTGCACAGCCTTCCATAAACACTTCCTGTAAAGAGAGCCCTATTTAGGCCTTCTTTATTGTAAGTTCTGTTAAATTAAGATTTTCTTATCCCCTGCTATGTTAATAGCTTGCTAGACCCTGCAAGAGCCTCCTGCATGTGATTAACCCCTTAAGACCGGAGGGCGTACAATTACGCCCTATTTTAAGCGGCTCTAAACGCCCCCGGGCGTAATTGTACGCCCTCAGGTCTTTCTTTACTTACCCGGTCGCCGGCTGTCCCACGCCGGCGATCACGGTGGGGGGGACTCCCAGGGAGCCCCCCGCGGCACGTCCGACCCCCTGGAAGCCCCCCGGCCATGTGAGAGTGAGGTCCTTGCGAGGACCTCACAATCACATGGCCGGGTAGGCTGCCTGCTGTATTGCCAGCAGGGGGGCTGCCTGTAATGACAGGTGGTCCCCCTGCTGGCTTAAAATAAATTAATTAAGTGTAAAAAAACAAATATATATATATGTATATATATATATATATATATACACACACACACATATTCATACACACACACAGTCTAGGTGTATTTTACTATTAATATATATATATATATATATATATATATATATATATATATTTTTTTTTTTATATATATATTATCAAATTACACGTAAACTGATGCTGATTAAATATATATATAATTATTGTTATATATATTTATATATAATATAAAAAAATTAAATATGTAAATACGTTAAAAAATAAAATTTAAAAAAAATTATTACAAAATATACAGATGTGTTATTTCGTTCTAACTGTATTGTGATATTAATATATATATTTACATCAAAATACATGTAGAACGAAATAATATATATATCTACATACATAAATATATACGTATATATCACTATATATACCTATATATAAATAAAAATATTTAATTTTTTTTATATATATACACATATAGATTCACATACGTGTATATATATATATATATATATATATATATATATATATATATTTATGTAATATTTTTACATATATAGGTATCTTAATTAATTACAATTAGCGTGACCTGCCTGACAACCCATGCCGAAAGTATAGGGAATTTAATTTGCTAGCACTATATTTAACCCTATAACTTTCCAAGACACCATAAAACCTGTACATGGGGGGTACTGTTCTACTCGGGAGACTTCGCTGAACACAAATATTAGTGTTTCAAAACAGTAAAATGTATTACAACGATGATATCGCCAGTAAAAGTGCAGTTTTTTGCATTTTTCATGCACAAACAGCACTTACACGGACGATATTATTGCTGTGATACTTTTTGCTGTTTTGAAACACAAATATTTGTGTTCAGCGAAGTCTCCCGAGTACAACAGTACCCCTCATGTACAGGTTTTATGGTGTTTTCAAAAGTTACAGCGTCAAATATAAGGCTTGCGTTTCATTTTTTTCACATTAAAATTCGCCAGATTGGTTACGTTGCCTTTGAGACCCTATGGTAGCCCAAGAATGAAAATTACCCCTATGATGGCATACCATTTGCAATAGTAGACAACCCAAGGTATTGCAAACGGGTATGTCCAGTCTTTTTTAGTAGCCACTTAGTCACAAACACTGGCCAAAATTGGCGTTTTTTGCATTTTTCACACAAACAAATACTAACGCTAACTTTGGCCACTGTTTGTGACCAAATGGCTACTAAAAAGACTGGACATACCCCATTTGCAATACCTTGGGTTGTCTACTATTGTAAATGGTATGCCATTATGGGTGTAAATTTAATTCCTGGGCTACTATAACGTCCCAAAGGCAAAGTAACCAATCTGGCGAATTTCAATTTGACCCTGTAACTTCCCAAAACGCCATAAAACCTGTACATAGGGGGTACTGTTTTACACGTGAGACATCGCTGAATACAAATATGTGTATTTTATTGCAGTAAAAGCAAACAGTATTAAGACATTGATAGTTAAAATGTCACGTAGAACTAAAAAAATAAAATAAAAAATCTTATTTTCTCCAATTTTTTTCATATTAAATTATGTTTCACAGCTAAATATTTGATATTAAATGAAAGCCCTGTTTCCCCTGAATAAAATGATATATGATAAGGGTGGGTGCATTTAATATGAAAGAGGTGAATTACGGTTGGACAGACATGTAGCGCAAATGCCAGGCTTTGTTTACATTTTGTTTCGTTCACAACGTGTACATTTGGCTCCGTCCTTAAGGGGTTAAAGTTCAATTTAGAGATTGAGATACAATTATTTAAGGTAAATTACATCTGTTTGAAGTGAAACCAGTTTTTTTTTTTTCATGCAGGCTCTGTCAATCATAGCCTGGGGAGGTGTGGCTAGGGCTGCATAAACAGTAACAAAGTGATTTAACTCCTAAATGACAGTGAATTGAGCAGTGAAATTGCAGGGGAATGATCTATACACTAAAACTGCTTTATTTAGCTAAAGTAATTTAGGTGACTATAGTGTTCCTTTAATAAAGAGTCCTGACCACTTTTTTTATTTTTAAAGATGAACTGTCATTCCTAGGCAAGTAACAATTTCTTGTTTCTTTACCCGGTAAACTCTATTGCAGCGTTTACTTGGGTGAATAGAACAGTGGATGTATGTAAAAAGCTTACTTATATTTGCTGCACTTCCACATTTCAGTGGCTTTACCAACCCATGATACATTAGGCACACACGCCCACTTGGGCATCTATCAGAAATTCTGTATGCATGCTTGGCATTCTCTCTTACATTGCTGGATACATGCATACTTCTTGTGCACAGTACATATAGAATTAACTAATTCACATGCTTTGGCTGTCAAAATATGAAAGCTAAAGTGGTACTGTCACCTCCTCTGAAAATGTAGTATTTCATAAATATTGAATCTTTATGAAATACTCGTGTTGACTGTGTTGGAATTTCACTGAAATTCCAACCCAGTCATGAAGTATTCAAGACTACTTTGTTTCTTTGTATTCCCTCCACCTGATTTTCTTGCACACTGGGTGGCGCTACAGTGTCAGTTCTGACAAGTCACCAGTGACGGCTGCAGGGAATTGGCTTTGTCTATGGAGGATTTTGCGGGATTCTCCATAGTTCTCAGTGCTGTACCCTCGCGCATGTGCAGCAGTGACATCGGATCCTGCTGAAGAGCACCAGTCCGGAGGAAGATGGCCGCGCTCGTGAGAGACAAGTTCCAGCAATTAAATCTCACCTTTACCTGCCAGCCGGACAGCAGCGATGATGTTACCATTGTTTTTTTTTGCAAATTCTGCAAAGTCCCCAGATTGTAACAGTGCCTCCTTTAAAGGAGAGAGAAAATTAATTTAAAAAATAACTTTTCACATAGCCAATAGCTTCATATAGTTAGTTTTTTGGTTGTGTTAAAAGTGAAGAAGTTACTTTTTTTTCTTAAGTGAAATTTAAATCACCATATTTTATGCTCATTGCACAAGTTATGTTGCATGGAAATGATATGCCTCCTTGCCCACATTTTTTTTTTTTTTTATATAACCACAACAATTTACAGGATTTGCTGCATGCCCCAGACATGAGAGGCGGAAACTATACTTATCTGCTTATACAAATATTTGTATAGCCAGCACCCACCTCTATAACTGGGTCTGTGAGAGTGTCTGAGCCATGCATGTATGGACACACACACTCACAATTTACAACTATGTACACAAAATGGTCAATAGGCTAAAAACCACCATATGGCTGCTGTTAACTTATTTCTACTCATCTGGTTTGTTTTCTCTCCTCTTTTGCCTTTGCTGTTTTACTATTCATGAGACTGGTGCCATGTCTTCTGTGTGTATTTATCAAGTTTTTAAACAGGGATATTCATGTTTCTATGTGCTAGGCATAAGATACGGGAGTAGAAAGATGAATAGGTAAATATGTACTTTTGTGTAGAGGAACCTTATGATGAAGGCTTAGGGATGTGGAGTCATGGATTATTGTAAGCCTAGTTGAAAAATCCTTAATTTAGGTTTATATGTAAATCATATGTTCTTCATGATAGCTGCCCTTTCTCAAACTACAGAGAATGCCTTCCCTCTCTTTTGTTTCTTGAAAGTAAGCAGTTTGGGGTCATTTGAACCCTGCTGTCGTAAGGTCTGGTTGGAGGTGAATGTATTCTGTAGGGTGGGCCCTCATTGTGGTTCTTTGTAAGACACTGCCAGCCTATGGAGTTTCTTTAACTCTTCTTTGAACTTATCAAATTTCAGACCGTATCACAGCTAGGCTTCCCGAAGTAGGGTGCACATCTCGATCTTGGGCGAAGACATGCAGGCTTTGTTGGAAGCACATCAAGTTGTGAATAATGTAACATCTGATGCCACAACCTTTCAACATGCTTGAAGAACTCTTGCAGAGGAATGATTGATAGATGAGAAAAGGAGCAATATTTACTTAATAATTTAGAAAGATCTATACATTTGCAAGAAATTATGATAAATGTCTCTTTCATCTCCTGCATAAAAATGTTTTAGCCCACCAAGATTGGGTTTGCAGTCTTGACAATATGTTTTTTTGTTGATCAACAGTTTGCAGTTGCAGTAAGCAGAATAGGAAGTAGGCTACACCTCCCAGCCTGTCATTGCCTGTAAAAATTCCTCGAATAAAAAAATCATCCCACATTTTGTCAGAAAATGTCGAAATGGCCTTAAAAAAAAAAACGTTTTGAAATATGTCATGTCAAATACCTTGGATTGTCTAATTTTAAACATGTATGTTTTTCTAGAGATCATTTGAATTGGTTGGTTGCTAAACTGTCTTGACAGAACAGACAGCAAAGGATTCTTTCAAAATGCAATAATTGTAAACTGGAATAGAAATGTTTCTAATTTTTAAAACCACAAAACTCTATATGAGGCAAATGTAGATTTGTCCTGTGTTTGAACCCAGTCATACCAATGATGCAATTTATATGTGTAAGTGAAACACAAACCAAATCTTACTGCGCATGTTGAAAGAGATTGACAATAAAATGGCAGCATGAAAAGTTTCACATTACCCAAACTAATATCTCTGTGGTTTATTCTGTCTAAAAATATACATGTTGTGTGGCAGTTTTGAGTACTGTGACAAGCTATTCAACTGGCTGGCCATTTATATCAAATTTGTGCGTTCATTTTTGAATTACTGATCAGCTTTGTCTAAAATATGACCTGTGACAGCTAAGAGTAGATGTACAGTCTAGGTGTGTGAGTTATTTTGTCAATCAGGAGAAACACTTTAATTTGATATCATAAACTGTCTTTGCAGTCCCTACCCTGACCACATTTTCCCCGCTTAAACTTTGCTTATATTGTACAGGCAGAATACGAAGATGTTTTATTAGTAATTGTATGGCAGACAGCTAATTCACCCTCAGTCCCATCTTTTTGTTTCAGGGGGATTCATGAATGATCGTGGCGAGAAGCGGAAGGACAGAAACTTGTGGCCTTCTCCCTCCCTGCATAGGACATTGATGAGTGACAAAAGAATGGCTCATGTACACAGCAACACAGTCAGTACACCCTACGTTAATGTATCTCTACTAATATAGCATTCATCTCTCATACCATATTTTCAAGAGCACTGACTCATTACTGCTGTAACATTTCTAATTAATCTTCTGTATGAAAAAGGGTTTACTTTTTTCTGCTCAGTGCATTTACTTTAGAAGTTTTTATCTCCCATTAATTGAACTTAAATCACACACAGGAGGGTGCTGTAGACTCTACCAGACAATTAAAATAGCAAGAGATAAAGTTACAATTAAGCTTTTTTTTAATTTATAAGGTGCATAGGTAGGCTGTGTAAGTCTCAGCCAAGGGAGGTGTGTTTAGGACTGCATAAATAAGGTTAATTAACCCTATTTATTTCTATAGTGTTCCTTTAAACATCAGGGTATGTGTTCATTTACAAATATAACCTATGCAATTAACATTGCTTAATTAAAGGGACACTCTAGACTTCAAAAAAACTTTAGCTTAATTGAGTGGTTTTGGTGTGGAGATCACTGCTAAATTCTGTCATTTAGGAGTTAAATCACTTTTATATGTTTATGCAGTCCTAGCCACACATACCCTGGCTGTAACTCACACAGCCTCCCTGCACACTTCTGTAAAGAGGGGAATTAATGTTCAAACTTATTTTATTGCACAATCAGGTTAATTTAGAATATTGTATCTCTTGTTCTGTTAATTGCCTGCTGGAGCCTGCAGGGGTCTTCTGTGTGTGGCTAAAGTTCAATCAAAGGGAGATAAAAAAAAAAATTAAAACAAATTCTGAAGTAAACACACTGTGCTCTCACATCTGATTGAAAATGTAATAATTGTTTTCATGTAGGCTGTGTGAGTTACAGCCGAGGGAGGTGTGGCTAGGGCTGTATAATCAGAATTCAATGTTATTTAACTCCTATATGACTGAGAATTGAGTAGTGATACTGCAGGGGCAATAAAACTGCTTTATTAAGCTAAACATGTTTTTGTGCTTAGAGTATTCTTTTAAAGTAAACAATTAATTACATGGGTTGTATTTAACAAAACAAAAACACCCTAAATATCATGTTATCATCGCATCCTTTTTAGTGTATCCCAGACATGCAGCATCCTCATCATCATATCAGGAGCGGGTCTAGGAAGATCTTAAATTACAAACAAAGCCAGGAAAAAAAAAATATTTATATTTGTTCATCCATACTCTTGCTTGACAAACTGCTAGTACAATGTAAGGACTAAATGATTAATATATTAAAATTAGAAGCACTGTGCATTTCAATGTCCTATATGTTTTATCTGTGTCCTTATTTGTAGTGTATATTTTTTACATGTGTGGTTATTTCCACTAATATTTGCATTTATCTCATTTTGTAGCAGCGCCGTCTCCTTGGCTGCAGTTCTATTTCTGGGTTAGGACTTCTGCAGACTGCAGCAAGCAAAAAGCTGGAGATGTTAAGTGCTCGCCTTTCCCGTAGTTTGCAAAATCAAGAACCAGAGGAGGAAGATATTGAAGATGACGATGATGATGACAGTGACGATGATGACGATGAAGTAGAAGAAGCAGGGGATGTGGGGATATCCCAAAGCCCGAGTTGCAACACTTTGGTATGATTGCATTTGACCTCCAGACCTTTGAGGCAATTACCAGACACTACATTACATCTTACCAATGGGCTAGACTTGCAGTTAAAAATACAGTGTATGGGGCGAGCAATATGTTTTCATTTTGTTTCTTCTCGTTTTTGCAGAAAGCTACATTCATTTCTTTTCCAATACTTCTTATATTATTGCATAGATAAGTCCCCTATTAAAAAGGGTTTACTGAAAACATCAGTAATGTCCTAGATATAGCAGGACCACCCTGATTTTGGATCCCTGTCTCAACATCTTTAGGTTATTTTTCTATCTCAGCACTCTGAAATGCAAGAGAAAATACCAGAAAATTGTAAAGTGCAATTTTGACAGTGGGCAACAGGGCACATCACATGTGGTAAGAGTCTTTAAAATAAATAAAATACAGTTTCATAGATACACAACAAATAAAACCTTGAATGCATTTAATTATGCATTTTTTTATTCTATTGAAATGTGGACTTTTTGCAAAATGGAAAAAATAGGTCACAGTCTTCACTCGTAAGGCTTTTCAGCAAGTTAAAGTACATTAGGGCCTGGAGTGTCCCTTTAATAGGGCTATCTGGCATGAACAGCTGTTTAACCCCTTAAGGACACATGACATGTGTGACATGCCATGATTCCCTTTTATTCCAGAAGTTTGGTCCTTAAGGGGTTAAACCTCAGCTCCCCATACTCTCATTTTGCAGTTATATAATTGGTATAATGTCTTTTATCAATATCAAGCTAACACATTTATGGTAAGAAATAAAAAATCCTTACTGATTAGTGTAATGTTGTCAAATATATCATAAGGAAAGTTTCAAAATAAAATTGTCTTTGGCATATCATTTCTGAAAGATTCTCAATACTTACTGAATGGCATGTAAATATGGACAGACACCTAAGTATTGTTAGGGATGCTGCATGCAGCATTTCAGAGAAGGAAGATGTGTGATTCTACCAATCACGCAAAAGTGAAAGAAAACATACTTAAAGAGACACTCCAGGCACCCTACCTTTCACAAACTGCAATATTTACCTTGCAGGGTTAACTCCTCCTCTAGTCGCTCTATACTAGCCACTAGAGGACACTTCCTGGTTTATAGCACAGATTTTCTGTGCTATAGCGTCGCTGGACGTCCTCACGCTATGTGAGGACCTCCAGTGTCGCTGAAATCCCCATAGGAAAGCATTGCCGCGCATGTGCATTAGGTCTCCCCCGTCGCCGTCCGCGCATGCGCAATAGGTCTCCCCTGCCAGATGACGTCGGCGGGGGAGGAGCGTGGGCGGACCCTGAACCAGCGCTGAGGGTCATTGGCGCTGGATACAGGTAAGTCACTGAAGAGGTTTTAACACCTTCAGCAACCGGGGGTGGGAGAGAGAGGGGACCTGCAGTGCCAGGAAAACGGTTTGTTTTCCTGGCACTGGAGAGTCCCTTTAAACTAGATACATTTAACAAATGGAAAACCAAAATACCAAAATAAAAAAAACATGACCGCTTTAATGAATTCTTCTAGCCAAATCATTTTAACATGTATAGAGAAAACATAGAAGCTTTACAGGTATCTATTCTACTGGCATTTTGATGTAGACAATGCTTCAGTCTGAGATTTAGACATTTGTGGGCTGGTATAGACTATAGCTATGCTGGTACAGTGAGATATATGTAAACTTCTACAATTGAAACCTAGGGTTTTTCATATTCTATTTACTTATGCGCTACAGTTAAGAAGTAGGTATTTTTGAAAACTGAAAAAGAAAGTTAGTTGTGGAAATGTTTACTCTACTGTGTCTACCTATGTCAGGGAACATAGTGTCTCATCTTGGCAACATATCAAGCACTGCTAAAAGCTCTGGCCTTTTCTGTAATTTAAAAAATGAAAAACAACCTCTACATTTGTCGATCAATATAGAGCCTTCCCCACAAAGTGCACATATCTCCACGGAGGTGAAAATAATGGCAAGGAAGACATACAGAAACAATATCTCGACTTCTCCCATGCCTTCTGAGTACGATCACAATGACAATTTTTATATCTTTAGTTTTGGTGATTTGCAATGTTTTAGTCTGTGGTGCTCTTGCCAGAAATGTTACAGTTCTCCTCTAGCACATACAATAGCTTAAAGAGACATGCATCACTTGACAATCGTGTTTTTAACAAACACTTTTAAACAGATATACAAACCAAAATAAAGCAATAAAAACTTTGAAAAGGGTGTAATCTGTATAAACTTAGTCTGATTGCATTAGTATCTCAGGGGAGTTTCTTCAGCTCTCCCCCTTACCCGCCTATTTCAGTTTCAGATCAGTCAAGTAATGACAGAAACAGGGCATCATTGTGCAGCAGCCGGAGAGATAAAACCCGAAAACAGAGCCTTCTTTGCATGAATCACACTGATCAGACTCCCTGTTTTCTCCCCTTGTCAGGATGCTGCAAAATGAAGAGATTTTTCGAGTGCACATGTGTAAATTTGTCAGGCATGCCCAATGCACGTTTCCAGCATTCCTAGGGATAGGACACTGATAGGTTAGATTAATGTCCCACCCGAAGTGGGTGTGGAAAGCAAAAGAAAGAAGAAGCAGGTAACTATGAAAAAAAATCATACTTACCTGTTTTTTTCAGGCTGTGGACTATGGCAGCTGTCTCATTCAAAGCTAAAGCTTTTGAAAGAGACAGTTGTCACAAAGTGATGCATGTCCCTTTAAACTTACATAACTTATCTGAAGGAGACCTTGCACATTTGGAAAATGATCCCTCCATACGGGATCCAATTTAGAATCACAAGTGTTTTGAGTTTTCATATCACCTAAATCAATATCCATGGTAAATACTTTGTAATGTGAATTCAGTTTCTTAAACCATGTAAAATATAAACTGTATTATGTCCATTCTCATTTTCTGCTTTAACATTTTAAATATTTTAGAATCATGTGTGTTTGTTGCAGAGTCAACAGAAAGAAATGGAGAAAGTTTCCTTGCTCTCCCAGGCCAGTAAAAGCCATAAAAAGGTATGGATGGAGCATTGCACTTCTCCTGTATTTCATAGCATTATTTCTTGCATGGCTGAGTAAAATTTCTGTTTTCCAGGCTGTCCTTCCATTGGAGAACGATTCATTTTCTCTCGGTATACCCAAGAATTTTATATGTGAACATTGTTTTGGGGCCTTCAGGAGTAGCTATCACCTCAAGAGGCATTTGTATATACACACAGGTAAAGAAACGGTAAAAAAGATTTTGTTCTGTACAAAAGACCAATGTTTTCCATCATGGGCAAATAGTTTTAAAAATCATTGATGTATATTATATATTTTTTTCCCTCTGGAAGGGAATGCTACGTTCTGCTAAGTAGCATTTTTAAAATACTAAATGATGGAATACAGAAGTGGTATTTATCGAGAAAAGGCTGGACAGTAGGAATTTGATTATTATTATTTTATTATTTATGTAGCGCCATCAGATTACGTAGCGCTGTACAATGGGGGTAATCGAAACCTTTCCATCATCGCACATTTCACAAAAGCCATACCTCCCTCCTAACATAACCAAGCTCATGCCCTCCGTCACATCCTTCATAACTGCACACCAACCCCTTTCATAAGTTTAGTCATTTGTTAAAGAATTTCCGTTTATATTATACTCACTATTTGATAAATAGTTATTCTTTCAAATCAGGTCATATTTGATTTGTATTCTTTTCTAGACGTTTTGTGTTAAACATAAAATTGTAAGATATTATTTTTATGTTTATTGCTGTTTCTCCCAAAAATTTTGGTTACTGTGGGTTGCATTCTAATCTGAATGCTCTCACCATGCTGAACACAGCACCTGAGAGCCTATACCCAGATCCAAACATTTTAATATTTCTTTAAAAGGACACCACAGTCACCAAAACAACTTTAGTTTAATTAAGTAGTTTTGGTGTATAGATCATGCCCCTGCAGTCTCACTGCTCAATTATCTGCCATTTAGGAGTTAAATCACTTTGTTAATGCAGCAATTGTCATACCTCCTTTTTAAACACTTCCTGTAAAGTGAGACCTAATGTTTGCATTTCCTTTGTTGCAAATTCTGTTTAATTTAGAATGTCTTATCTCCTGCACTGTTGAAAGCTTGCTAGACCCGGTATGTGATTAAAGTTCAATTTACAGAGTAGGCGGTAAAATGTTATTGATGACAGGACATCCTTAAAATGACACTTCAGGCACCATAACCATGTCAGCAGAATGAGGTTGCTATGGTGCAAGAAGGTCCTTGGGCACAATCTTTCCTCAAGGGATTAAACCAGTCCTCCTTTCAAAGGCTTAAATCCAGCTCCTGTCAACTCTGCTTAGCTAATTCAAATACAATCAAATGCTTGAATCAGAAGATCTCGAACTAGGAGATGCTGATAGTCTGAGTGCTTCAGCTGACGCTCTTTTCCCATCAATAGCTCCCCATTCACAATATGTAGTGAAAAGGCTGCGTACCTTGTGTTACTCAATTTTGTTAATGGGAAACTACTGAGAGTGTCTGCTGGCTGCAAAGAAAGTTCAGGGGCAGAGCTGAAGGGCACAAGATTGAAGACTTTAGGTTATGCCATTTGTTAATGGTTTAGCCCCTTTAAGGTAGGCCGATGCCAGAGTACCTCATATCACTGTAACATCTTAATTCACATGGCGTTCTTATGGTGTTCATAGTGTTCCATTAAGGAATGAGTAGTTAGCACCTATAGGTTCACTTGTAAGTAAAGAGTAAATGTCTAACTTTATGCAGTCTCTTATGTCTTTGGTGGATTACACTTTCCATGTTCTTCTACTTGAAAGATCATCGATGGGAACTGGAGTTCATAACAAGTTGCCTATCTCTTTAACAGACACATGAATGAAAATGGTGGACATCAAATCATATCTATTCCTTATCTCCTAGGAGAAAGACCATACGAGTGTGACATGTGTGACATGAAGTTTATCCAAAAGTATCACTTGGACAGACACAAACGGGTCCACAGTGGGGAAAAACCTTACCAGTGTGAACGATGCCAGCAGGTAATTATTGTCACAGACTTTTTTATTTTTTTAGCACATTTGTTTGTTTATGATGAAAAGTTATTCTCATCAAGCATCAATTAAAGGGACACTGTAGGCACCCAGACCACTTCAGCTCATTGAAGTGGTCTGGGTGCCAACTCCCATCACCCTTAACCCTGAGAGTGTAATTATTGTTGTTTTTATAAACTGCAGTAATTACCTGCTAGGGTTAACTCCCCCTCTACCAGACAGCCACTAGAGAAACTTCTGAGTGCTTAGACGCTATGCATGAGGACCTCCAACGTCACTTGAATCCCCATAGGAAAGCATTGAATAATGCTTTTCTATGGGGAGATCCTAATGCACACGCGGCCATTGCAGTGCAAGCGCATTAGGTCTCCCCTGCCAGAGGCGGGGGAGGAGCATGGAGGCGCTGGACCCAGGTAAGTGACAGAAGGGTTTATTAACCCATTCTTCACCACAGGGGTGGGCCTTGATAGAAGGGGAATCTATGAAGTAAATAACAAATTGTATGATATTGTGTTTGCCAAAGGAAAAATATTACAGTGTAAGAAATGTAACCGTCACTCTTGATATTCTGTTATTTGCCCATGATGAGATCTTGGCTAATGTAATATGCAAATGTTTTTTGTTCCTCTTATAATATCTACCCACCTACATACATTTGTCACCTCGCCCAGAACAAACTAATCTGGGATTTGTAACGAAGAACAAATTTTAATAAGTAAGCTTGTCGGGGTTTAAATATTAAAGCAGTTTTGTGCCAGAGACCTCAGTATTAGCACTTAACCCATAGGCACCCTTTTATATCCATAGGCACCCAGACCACTTCAGCTCATTGAAGTGGTTTGGGTGCATATCCCAGGCCACTAGAGGGACGTCTGGGTCTCTATGCAACTTTTGGTCGCATATGTGATGCTGTGCATCCTCACGCTATGCATGAGGATGTCCAGTGTCACCCTAAACCTTATAGGAAAGCATGTCCCATGGGAATTGTTGGTGGCTGCTGTTGGTGGGGAAGGAGCAGAGGCAGAGTCCAAGCCATCATCAAGAGACATCGGCGCTGGACTCCTATGTGAAAGCATTTTGATTGTCTCAGAACACCACTTCTGATGATGTTAGCCATGCAGACAGATCAGGGTCAAAGCCAGCAGCAGCAGACTGAAATAAAAGGTACGGTTTTGCGATATTTAGGGGGTGCAGAGGGGATGGATGGTGTTTATAACACTATAGGGTCAGGAAAAAAAATGTTTTGTGATATGCTCCCTTCATATTTTGGGAATAGTTTTTAATTGTGCTAAATAAATGAAATAAAAGTTAAGTATTAATTGCTGTGCATTACAGTTTTGATTATTTTTTTAGGCCTTTTCACGGACTGACAGACTTCTGAGGCATAAACGAATGTGCCAAGGTTGCCACTCCAAAATCGTGAAGACAGAATATGTGGCGTGAATTGGGAATATTTGCAGGTGCACATCCAGCAACCCTTCTCTATCCCTTAGAATTGATTGACCCCAAGTTTGAACATTTCTCAACATTTCATGACGCTCGCAAAAGAAGACTGTTTTCTTTTGATGGACTACTTCTCGTCTACAGAAGATCTAGCCACGTGGACAACTCAACATCTTCCAAGAAAGCAACATTTAATCTCAACACCTTGATACTCAGGCCACAACAGCCACATGTATTGTCCTTGGTGGGTGGGGGTATTCACGATGGCAACATTCTGAGGATTTCCTGAGGAGTCAAAATGCATTTTACTGTACAGTTTTTTTACATAATATTTTTAACTATACTTTTAAAGAAGCAGTTCATCACAAATAAAAAAAAAAAGTCCTGTTACCTTTTTCCCTTTTAGAAAATATTGCTTAGTTTAAAAGAAAATCTATCTGAGGGTTTCCAGGAAAATCTATTTTCTCTGGGAGTGAGAGAAGCCTGTGTACTTCAGCCGAAAACCATGAAATCTCACCTGATTTACAAGCTGTACCATCCCTTTAAAGGTACCCTGTCTTATTGCCCCCTACCTCTTTCTGATCCCATTGGGGAGAGCTCCTGGCAATTGTACCTGAAAAGCTCCAACATATGAATTTCCAGATTCTGTTGAATATGGATTGTAAGGTGTCATAAATAGTGTCTCATATATATATATCACATAAAATAATTGCAATTGCATTTTTAACTAACCTATGAATATGTTTGTTATATGAGTTTACTAACCCCACAAACCGAAATCTAAAAGGCAACTTTTTTTTTCTGTAGAAATTATAGAAGAGTCCTGAAAAATATGGAAAATATCGTTGCCCACCTTTTTAACTGATTTGTAAAATTAACACTTTGAATTTTTTTAGTGCATTATTATTATAATTCAATTAACATTTTTTAATTTGATTTAAAGAAATCCAAACCAATTGTCTATCTTATAAGATGTGTAGTTGTGTAATACATGTTATGAGATAAGCTAGATGGAAATGTTGAATGGATTTATCTAAAGTCATTGTTTTTTTTTATTTTGGTACCACACAGTTCAATATGCTTGTACATAATTTTTAACTACTAGTTAACTGCCTTTCAGTTCCCTGAATCATGAGCCAGTTCTTTTGGATGTAATTCTTGGCATCTTGCTGAGGTACACCTATTTTTCCCTTTTCTTAGCCAAAGTTACCGCGTTTTAAGTCCATCAATTAATTTTTCTTGAAGTGAACTTGTCTTCCAGAAATTTTGTGGAAACATCAGGTAGGAATATACATTATGCTTGTAAAATTACCATCAAATGTATAGATACAAATATATACTTGTCTGAGATTCGCTTCTTTCATAAACGGCATGGTACTCCATTCCAGTTTAGAATACCACAATCTCTAATGTGCTATGCTGATTGCATAGTGGTGTATGCCAGAAATTAAAATGAGCAAAACACTTATAAATGAATATTTTTTTTCCCAAGCATAATCGCATTGGTACTTAACAATTAAGTATTTGCTTCATAGATCTTACCTTGGCTGATGGATAGGTACTACTCCTCTGGACCTGGGAGATTAAAAAAAAAACTAAGTCCAGCCGCTTCTTAAACTAAAGTGGGGCAAATACCCACTTGTGAATACTGCTGTTAAAAGAATATGCAGTAAGTAAAATGTCAGGCTACATCAACATATTTGCTAGTCATTTGTCTAGCACTATGTATGGATTACATTTAATGCTCTTTAAAATGAAACCAAGTCACTATAGGCAAACTTTAAGTCTAGTTTTAGTTGCATATGAAATTTAAAGGGACTCTGTTACCAAATATATTTAATATACATGGTCTATTTTCATACTTGTTTCACTATTGTCCAATTTTAATCAATAGGCACATGGTAACACGTATGTCAGTTGTCCTGCTCTGCTTATTTGTAGGTATGTGACGACTACACAAGTGTACATCTTGGCCAATCAGCACTGGAAGTCATTGCAAAAAGCACTTCATTGTTAGATCACGTGCTCAGGTTATATCTGTTAGTTCCATATAAAAGTTACTCACTGTGTAACAGTCAGTGACACTTGGGTTAACCACGATGCTTGGCAGTGAAAAAGTCCTGCCACTAGGAAAGTAAAAAAATAAACAATTTTCTATTGAAAAAAAATAAACCTTTTGCATCAATTAACAAAGCATAAAAATACTCTTAAAGTGTGTTGGGTACACTTATTACTAGCTAATATAAACCTTATAAATCTTGGAATAAGTAATCAAGATAATTTTGCATGCCAGTAAATTTGTGAAAGAAGGGGGAAAAAAAGGTTTCCCTTTATAAGAGCATATGTAATGAGAGGACAACTGTGCGCTCACTATAGCAGATGTGAACATTTTTTCACACTGAAATTAATGGCAAGCAGACGGTACTTCTGCAACTGGCTTCCATTCAGTTCAGCAGAAACCATTGCTGGTGTACTGCATAAATACAAACAGTCAATGCTTTAAAAGGAGGAAGCAACACATGCTTGCGAGTGCTTCTCCCATTAATTCCGCTTGGAGCCTAGAGATTGGCTGCTGGCACCAACTAATTTCTGCCTTCAGCAGAGGTAGATGAACCCAGGGATCGGCCAAAAGTCAATGTTGAGTATGTGTCTGTTTATTTCTACATAAAGGAACATTCTAAACACCATATCCACTACAGCATACTATAGTGGTTATGGTGCCAAGAGTGCCTTGCTCCTTATCCCCAAATGTAACTAGTCGAATAGTTTTGTAATAGTTTGACTTGTTATCTGGGGTCTGCCAGGTGCTGCTGCACACCTCCTCTCTGCCGGAAGCTTTCTACTTTGGCCGAGAGTGATCAGGTGTCTATAGTTCTACTGCCGGCAGAGTGTGGATCAGAGCCGGGGAGACCAACAGTTAAATCGTTACTAAATAGTTTGATTACTTACATCAGGGGGACGCTAGGGCACACAGTGTGCTCTAGTGGTTATGAGGCTTGGATATTTGTTTATTTGCATGTGTTTGGCCTAGATCTGTAACACCACTGGCAATTAAATCGGGTGAACTGCAGCTTTAAAGTAAAACTTCTGTATGATTTCTCAGAAAATGATCCCCAGTTAAAAATAAAATCAGAAACTCCTTCAATTAATTTTGGGAAAAAATGACCACATTATAATTCTGCGGATATTAAGATTTATTTTATATATATATATTTCTCCAAAATTTAGTTTTGAGCAGAGAGGCAGAATTGTATGTATTTTTTTGTTTTGTTTTTTTTAAACACTGTACAGTTATATTTTATTTTCTTTCCCTTCTTGCAACTGTGGTTAGAATATTTAAATAAACTTGTGTTTTTGATACTTTAATGATTGTTTCCCTTTTTCAGAGTAAAATTACTAGTAGGTTTTTTTTTATTTGTACATTTCATAAAATTTAAAATTTTTACCATTCGGTAACAATCCAAGAAATGTAATGTGGGCATGGAGCAAAGTGCTACACGCAGGTAAGTAAAAGGTTGGATACGCAGATCCCCTTATAAGTAGATGGAGGCACACAGGTCTCCTATACAGCGCTGACAAAAAAGGCTAATTGAAGTGTTAGGTTATGGTCCCCTATGCGGGGGTTATGTCTTATTAACCTTAGAAGTACCTTGGCTATGTTCTGGGATCATGAGTGATGTACAGCGATAGAGAGCCGAGGTATGCATTATGCCTTCCCGGCTGTAGTGCAGGTCGGATCGAAAAGAAAGGCTGTTGGCTTGTATGGCATGGTGAATTGTGTTGTTACTCAGGTTATATCGGGTGCCATAAATATATTAACCAGTATAATGCTGGTGGGAAAGGAGAGAAAAAGAAAATAAAGCAAAAGGGGGGAGTGGTGTCGCGTTGCCTGTTCATTAATGTGACTGCATCTCAGGGTGGTACTGGTGGTGGGGAGGATTGTGCGTGGTGAAGCTTGCAGAGGGCCAGCCTGGTAGGAACCTTAGCAACCCCTCTGGTGCAGTGTCTCAAGCGGCGTGTTCTGCTGTTCTCGAGAGTTAGGTAGGGTACAGTGAACAAGGGATAGTTGCCGTCGGGACCTAGTCCATGTAATGCCCTTAGTCTCCCTATTTGGTGTGGCACCTCTGGTCCTTCCCCCGGGCATGTCTTAGCTGTAAGCCAGTCAGGGGTCCTATGTGAACCAGGCAGTACCAAGGGTCCCCTGGTTGTATTAATTCCTGTTCCTCATGTTACGGTGTCTTGAACAAGAGGGGTACCTGTCACTTTTGAAGGTTGTGTGTCACCCAGGCTAGGCCTATGTTAATCGCACAGTGAGTAAGAGTTAATTAGTCAAGCTGTAGGCAGTCGTGGCCACTTTTTTAAAATTAAATAATGTGTCGAAGCGAGGTTGTCTGGTCTAGGGTACAGATAGTCATTGTCCCTCCCTGTATTCCCTAGTGCCAGTCTCGTAGGGGGCCCCCTGTTTTATGAATAAGGGCTTGGAAATCAGTCTCGTCGGTGGAGACGATTCAGTGTGTCCAAATTGTCATGCATGTTTGGGACCTCCCCTCTGCCTCTAAGGAGAGTTCCTCTAGTGCTTGGAGTTCCTCCATTCATTGGTACCATAAGGTTATTGGCTGGGGTGCCTGTTTTTTTTTCCAGTAAAGTGGAATCGGGCTTTTAGCTACATTGAGGATTCTACTTGTTAATGACTGTTTATAAGCTGAGGAGCGTATTTTGGTGTGGTGCAAAAGAAATGGCGCTGGTTTCAGTGGTGGCGGGTCATCCGAGAACCGTTGGATAAGTTTGTGGGTGTCTGTCCAGTATGGTCGCATTGGTGGGCATTCCCACCATAAGTGTATAAAGGTACCCGTTTCCCCACCACAGCTCCAGCACTTGTCGTATGCAGAGAGGTCATAGGTTTGCATGTTTTGTAGTGTTCGATATCAGAGTGCGAGCACTTTATAGGCAGTTTCCTTTACCCCGCGAGAGGGCGTACAATGTAGTGTAAGGTTACAGATTTAGGGACCACTATGTAGATGAGAAAGTTGTACCTAGTGCTTCTTCCCACTTTACCATGAAGCGCGGTGGCTGTGTTCTCTTCAGTCTCAGGAGCATGCCCTAGAGGATGGACAGGCCCCTTACCAGCAGGTTGGGGTCAATACATAGTGATTCTAATTCTGTGAGGTTTCTCGAGGTGGAGTTTTCTGGGACGATATGAATTCTGAAAGTTGCCAATGTCTAAAGCGTAGCATGCGGTGCGACCTTTCGATCGGCGCAAAATTTTACAGTGGCTTAATTTTTCCTTCATTGTGGGCATGGCAGATCTGGAGCAGCTCCTGCCCCAGTAGGTTTTTGAAGATTCCGCCCTCCATTCCTGTGTGTCGCTCTGTGGTATACCCAAAAGTCTGTCAAAGCCAGGCCTCCCCCGTTATTTGGCAGCGTGAGGGTATTGTGTTTAATTTGTGCCTTGAGTTTATGCCAGATAAATCAAAGGGTTACTGAGTGGAGTGCGGTAAAAAATGCCTTTGGTATGGTGATGGGTAGTATCTGGTACAGGGCACACCTTGGTAGGATGTTCACTTTTATGACTCCCACCCTGCCAAACCAGGAGAGCCAAAGCCTAGAACACTCCTCAAGGTCTTTACGGAGTATGGTCAGAAGTGGTTGAAAATTGTATTAATACAGCTAGATAAGGTCTCTGGTGATCACAATGCCCAGGTATTTCAGGGCTATGTCAGACCATAGGGAAGTAAATCTTTGTTTAACCCCTTAAGGACCAAACTTCTGGAATAAAAGGCAATCATGACATGTCACACATGTCATGTGTCCTTAAGAGGTTAAGGGCCTGTGCCCTTACTTGTGGAATGGATACGTTGAGGATGGTTGATTTTGTGTAGTTCATTTTAAAGTTAGACAATGAGCCATATTCTGCCATAATGACCGGTAGGGAGGTTTCGGGACTGGTGATAAAAAATAATAAATCATCTGCATATGCCGCGACCAAGTGCCTCCACTCCCGCAGGCCGAAATATCAGGGTTGCTCCAATTCGCGTTCAGGATGGGTTTGAGGGCAAGGACAAAGAGCAAGGACCACAAGGGTCAACCTTGTTGAGTGCCATTGCAGATTGGTAAATGTGCCGTGAAAGCAGGTCTCGTCTCCATTCTGGTCCAGTTCTTTTCTCTGGGATGGGCCTGGTGCTGTCGGTTACGGTGTGGGGAACTTGTAAAAGTCCAAGGAATCGAGCCAATTTAGGTGGAGGAATGGTAGTTGCAGTTCCTCTGATAGATCCAGGAGGTCCTGCTGGTTGTGAACCTGCCTGAGGCCCTCGGTAGGACATTCCCCCATCGGGAATGTCCATCTATATGCACTTTCTGAGCCACCAGGGAGCGGGTAAGATGCTTGATGGCCTTGCGGTAGCCCAATGCGGCCAGGCATAGCTCAGGGAATAGTTGGATGGAGTGTCCTTTGTGGGCAATGTCGCCCGCTCTGCGTGCCACCTGCACCTATATGGCCTGCAATATTTCTTTAAGTGTATATAGAGTCAGGCAACAGATCACATCCTGGGGATTTCAGGATGGCCTCAACATAGGTGTTGTAGGAGGCCATTAAAGATTGAAGTGAGTAAGCCTTTAAGTTGGTTGACGGTCTCCTCACATTCTGGTAGGCCCCTGACCCTCAGGTTTTGTCTGCTGCCTCGGTTTTCGAGGTCTTCAATGTGCCGCACCACAAGTTGTAGCTGGGCTGTCAGGAAATCCAGGGTTGATGTAGTGGCAGTTTGGGCAGCCAGGAAGTTGTCATGGTCAGCTTCAACCTGGGACGTGTGGTCCGCTATACCTTGCAGATCTGACCTAATCAGCTAGAGGTTCACCCGGATGGAGGCATGCAGCGTCGACGTTGCCTCCTTGAGGTCCGCCCGGGTAGGCAGCGACTTGATTAGAGCAAGCCAGTACAGTGATGGTGAGGCTGGGGGCTCATCTCGGCCGGTGAGGTCGAGTGCGACATTGAGGCCTTTGAGCAGAGGCAGGCCTCAAACAGCGCCTGGGAGGCGATGTCCACGGCGTGGCCAAATATTGCCTCATAGAGGAGTGAAGCAAGAATGCCAGGACCCCGCAGGTTTGGGGGTACCCGTTGCTTTGGAGTTCTTCCCCATTGCGTGCTCTGTGGTTGCGATTGCAGGACAGACAGTTTGGGATTAAAGGAGCACAAGGTATTAGCCGCCATTCTGGTCCTCCGCTCGGCCACGCCCCTGGTTATTTTTTTTTATATTACTAAACTACAAATTAAATCTTATTGTATAACTTGTCGTACACACACATACATATATATATATATATATATATATATATAAGAGGGACTGTCACTATCCAGTATTTTTAATGTGTATTTGTGAGGTGTGAAAGATAAAATTAATTCTAGAAATACACGCCTCTGTATCCTGCGACAGGGCAACTTTAATCATTGTCTTTGACATTGGCAGTCTGCATAGAAAAAGCTAAATGTACTGATTTAACAGCTTCAATTGGACCTTCACATGTATGCTTTTATGGGATTATTTCTAATGGGATACCTGGGGTGATCAACCAAAACAGTCTTGTTACAAATATGCATAGAAAAAAAGGAATTGGGGGCATAAACCAAAACATGATAGAGTTGCTTAAAAATGCACAAGTAAATTACAAGTATTTATAATGATATTTCAGATTGTCAGTTTAACAAGATGTGAAGAATGCAGTGTAAACATAAAATAGAGAAAATTTATGACAAACTTATCGTAATTTTCTTTTCCTGGCTATTCCTCATGGCAGCATCACTTATGGGTAGCTCCTCCCTTAGCAGTCACAGGACAGGAATTAATTAGATTAATTAATCAGACTGATAGGTATAAGGAGTCCCTCCTCCCCCTACATCTCAGTCCAATTATAAAGCTGAAATAAAGAATGGGCAGGAACCCTGATGCTGCCATGAGAAATAGCCAGGAAAAGAAAATTACGGTAAGTTTGTCATAAATTTTCTCTATTCCTGGCTAATCATGGCAGCATCACTTATGGGTAATACCCAAGCTTCACAGAAAAATAGGGTGGGAATAATAATCTAAGAAATTACACAAAACTGAAACACATGCAGCAAAGAAAAGTTTAAACCATGGGATAAAGAGACCGTAGACAGGACACTCTTTCCAAAGGAGGTGGAAGGAGACTCCACATCAAGTTTGTAGTGCTTCATGAATGTCATCGGAGAAGACCAGGTGGCTGCTCTGCAAATATCATCGTATGGAACCTCTGCCCAGCTAGCCCATGAAGTTGATAATGCTCTAGTAGAATGAGTTCTTATCTCCCGAGGTGGTGATATACCTTTAGAGATATACGCCTTCTTAATTATCAGA